CACCTACGTGGATGATTTTAGATTGAAGAAATTGTTTGGTGAACAATGGGACACTTCTTGTATGAAAAGAAATTAATGATGAATTAATCGGAAAACAAAGCTCATTAATTGGAAAACAAAAGCTAGTACGCTAATGTCACTGCGATTGATTTGTCATTTATCTGTTCAGATTGAGAGTGCAATTGTCATTCTCATTTACTTACAAGTTAACATGTTTCTCACAAACCACTGAGCTACGGCCCGGTGGCCACCGAAAATTTAATTCCTCTCTGAGCTGTAGATCAGGGATTTGAATCCTATCTAATGCAAAGAGGTGTCGAATCAATCCACCATCTTCGTTTTTGCTATGAAAATATCTCATAGTTTCAAAAAGTAAAAAGAATGGTCATAAATAGAAGAGGAAATTAATTGAGATGTTTTAGGTATCTTTTTCCTTAATAAGAAGCATTTTAAAAAGTTTTCCTAGTAATCGACAAACATATATTGTGAATTATTTTGAAATTCGATGAACGTTTAAGAGACTTGAGCGCTGTATAAAATAACTGGATAATGAAACTTTACAACCAAATGATGTAAATTTTGGAAATTTTATATGTGCTTGCATGTTTTTTTAGTTGAAAATGAATAAAACTTCTAAATTCGGTTTAAATTTGAAAAGCCACCAAAGCATTTGAACTAGAATTTGGTGATCATTAATATGTCCCTGCAGTGATTGCCCAGAATTTAATTTCCTTTTGGTTTTTACCGTATTCAAGAAAGATAAAGAATTTTTGCTTCCAAATTTGGTTGGATAAAACGAATTAATTTACCTCAACAAGCATAATAGCATGTCATAGAAATTCACAAAATCGAGGATGTCCTACTGTTCGTGTCATTTTCATCTGGGACTAGAGGACAAGTCAACAACTATCCTCGTCCCGCTTTACAAATTAATTTACTTAATTGAGAATAGAAGAGAGGACAAAGAAAAGAGAGTTAGTTGTGCAATTAGTATGTGCTTCCAAGAGATTTTGTGATACATTAATTGGGGGGTTGGTATGTGCAGTGAATCATATACACTCTACCGTTGCTATTATATGATTACAATCTATTTTTATTTTACTTGTTTAGACTCTGGTCCCGGTTTAGGTATATGGATCATACATGATCTAGACTCAAAGGTCAATTCAAATCCAAATCAAGATCAACATGGATTATACATTCCCTCTCCACTTTCAAGTTTCAAGTCCATCATAATTCACGTAATTTTCAATATTAAAACCATGTTTGATAACTCAATTTAATACTATTTACATATTATACGTCCAGACATTTTTTGTAACAAAAAATAGGACTTGATTAATTAATTGGTTCTCTATTGTTTAACAGAACTTGCTCAATACAATAATTGATAAATTGTTCACTTATTACTTAATACAAAATACTATCAAATGTTAAGATTTCAATACTTAATAATTGAATAAATTAGCGGATTTAAATATCAAGTTTCAAACTTCAGTTTTATTAGTGCTGTTAAACGAACCAAGCTGCTCGTTAGCTTGGTTCATTTAGGCTCTTTTCTGTTCGATAACTGTTCCTTCGAAATTTTATATGAGTCAAGTTCGAACAAACATTTTGGCTCGACAAGTAATCGAATGAATACAAGGCCTAGTTGTCATTTCACAAAATTTAGGGTTAGTATTGTATTCCTAATTCCTATTACAGGCTTTTCAGCCTCTGTTAGTCTCGTACATGTGTTGCTCAAACGTCTCCAGAGTTTGGATTCGAATATCTCGAGCCTGTTCGCAAATGACTCGTTTATGTTAAATGAGTCGAATTCGAATTCGAACTCGAACTCGAACTCGAATTAGGATTTTGCTTAACGAGCCGAACACGAACACTGATTTGAAACTTGAACATTATCGAACGAACACGAGATTTATTTGAGTAGTTTAACAAACAGTATTTAAACACGAGATATTCGACTTATTTACGCCTCTAAATTTTATTAAACGCACCCTAAATCTGCTAAAACAAGACCGCTTTAGCCGCAGCTTCTGGCGAATTTGCAGCAATTATTACTCACATCGGTGATTGTTCAACTTTTCATGGACAACGGGCAAAGCTTTTCATAGGTTATTTTTAATGTTAGAAAAAGGCAAAATGATAGACTTTAATTCATCCAGGGATCATAGGTTCCGGCGGCTTCACCAGATTGAACCTAATTTATTAATGGTTTTAGTTTTCTGGCATTTTCGATTTTGTTTTCAGACCATCTAATGCGACAGAGATTGAATCTTTATTCAATCCATCCAACTGGCAAATGAAACTCTGAAAACATAATTGTTGTTTGTCAGGAAGCCACGATAGTATTAAGCTAGATATCAAAGCTAGATCACAAGATCCACAACCTTTGGTTCCTTTTTCTACAGACAACATTAATAAAAAATCAGGCTCAAGACCGAACGTAAAACCAATTTAGTATCATACTCCCTCCGTCCCACTTTGATAGTCCTGATTATTTTTTCACACAGTTTAAAAAAAAAGTAGTTAACTTTATTGGAACAATCAATTTAGGTAGCTATTTTCCTAAAATACCCTCACATTAATTAGAGTATAATTTTATGGGAACTTGAATTGATAGTAAAAAAAGAATCAACTCTCATTAAATGGGGTAGGTTTATAGTAACAACAACTTACATTGAATAAGGGTATTTTAAGAAAATTAAAATACAACTACATTCTTCAATTGAAAACTGGACTACAATTTGGGATAGACGAAAAAGGAAAACAGGACTATCAAAGTGGGACGGAAGGAGTATCACCTTTCATCGTTCCGGAAACTAATGACTATTATCGTTGGATTAGCCGCCCTTGTCAAAAGTAGCCTGTAGGCTCTGTACTCGAACATTTGCTGTCCAGCATTCAAATTATCAAGGTACAATAAATTAAACTTCGAAGTGAGCTAAAGAATTGGACATCCACCTACCTTTGATTTTTTCGACCTCAATTCTCTAACGTAGAAGAGTCTATAATCAGCTACCACGTTATTAAGCCTGCAGCTACCTTGATAGTTCTCCCTTCTTAGATGCATTGTGCTTGTATCTTCTTACAAAGCTATAAAAGACCTTTTTTGTTTAAATTTTTTTGTATACGTACGTACCTCCATTGTATTTGTTACTGTTCCCAAATGCAAAGGTTGAACAAGAAGTGTGGAAAGAGCCCAAGAATTTGGCAATGAGTGACTATTTAGCCTGAATCGAACATGGTTCGTTGTGTTTAAAACAAGTTACTAACTTTATTTTTTTAAAAAAAATTATCCTTAAAAAAAAAAAGATTACCATTAGCTAAAATTTGGGATGTTAAGCCAACCCTAGTTAAGGATATCACTAGCTGCTCTCTCTTGGCTGACAATGCATGAAAGAAAAGATAAATTTGAACAAAATGACGGATTAGGCTCTCTCTTTAATATCAATGGCGGCGGATTAGGCAGCCTAAATTTGGTACAAAAGAGTATGGATTAAGGTGCAAATGAGCATCAAGATTACCATTAGAAGCCTATTCGATCAAAATTTGAGTTTGAGTTTGAAACTTAAATATCTTATAACTCAGGTAGAATGCAACTTGTTTCGATAATCGAATATCATAATTTGATACGTACGTCGCTACCAATATGTAGATGAAGATTTAAAATCAGATTATATAGTAGTACCGACAGTTAGGTGATATTCCACTTCATGTTACAAGCCCGTTCATGTTGCCATTGAATCTTATCCATTACAGATTTCTTATTGTTGCCAAGCATTCCACACAAGACAAATCCGGGCATTGTGCTTGACGTCCTTCTCTTCTATCACTATCCCGTTCCCCACTTTGTTTAAGCAAGAAAAGCTACGTAATTATGGCTTCCGCCCTCAATCCCCAAAAAAGAAAAACGGAGGTGTTTAGCACGAAATTAAACACAGGCCCAGGCCTCGTCCTAGCCTGTTAGTTTAGTTTTGATCATTACAAGCACCCAAATTAATAAATGTAGATCTTATATACATTGACAGTGAATGCGCTGTCTCACTGTTGGATCCATAACAAGTGTAAAAGTCGAATTTTAAATTCATTTGTGAATACGTGGACGATTCCGGCAACACGTCAAAAGTTCTTAATCTTCCGGTGATAGCGTATTTTCTGGAGTCTACTTACTCGATCCAGTGTACAGGTACATATACAGACAAAAGGTTGAAAAAGCACCCAAAACTCGTAAAAGTGATTTAACATTTGATGAAATAGACAGGCTCCTACAGATTTAGCTGTCTAGGTCCCTAATCCAAGGTTTAACAACCCTTTGATTTATTATTTAATGCCAGTGATGTAGCTGGCTGAACTGTTTTTATACGTGATCTGTCAACAATGCAATTGTGATTACGAGTTCATAACCATGTCACTCTTATTTTTGATGGAAGAAAAATGTACCCGCCTGCATTTTTCTGAGTGAATTCCAATTTGCATAGAGCAAAGGCCTTGCGTGCTCAGATGAATGACACCTTGTATCAATTTGTAATTAATTAGCATACTCATGATCTCATGGGTGATTGATGATGCATCGGACACACCAAGGCTTTTAGAAAGGCAAGTTGACAATCTGATTTTTTTTTCATTTTTCTTGAAATGGACAGCTTAAACTTTGATCAGCGAGGAAAGATTAGTTGCCAAATCTCTTTGCTCCGCTACTCTCGGTACGGGTTCTATACATAATCAATCATCAGGTATCAACTGAGGCCAAAATCTAATTTCTAACTTAGCAACATAAATAAAGAAACCAAACAGGTAATAAAGTATAAGGAGGACCAGCCTAAGTCCATCATCAATCAACCAATGGTGGGAATTTAGGATTGGAGTGTGTGCTTCAAGACATATAGGCAGCTGCAGTAGGCTTGCGACGGTGGGAACACAGGATTGAAATTTGTTCTGATTGGCTTCTTTACCAGGAAAGTTCCCGTGTTGGCTAATTTTAAGGAGAAAAGAAATTAGCATGAGTCTACTCCATACGATCGTGACTAGATATCACAAAGTTTAATGAAAAGCTCATTATGCACAAAGCCGATTTCAGGCTCAGAATTGGCACGAATTGGTAATCTATAGTAATATGTTAACCTACTTAAGAGACCAACTGTACAAACACCAACCTAATTTTGACTACTCTTTCGAACATAAACCTCATTGTATTGCTCTTCAAGCATATCAAAATTCAGCCTGTGCATTTTCTGTTTTGCATTTTTGAAGCTCTTCTTGGGCAGATATGAGCCTACATAAAGGAAATGAAGTGCAAAGCAATTAGAATTTGGTTTTAACACAAGTTAGCATGATGCCTTGTATGCATGTCATCACAAGTACCTCCACTGCAGATCAGTTACTTCACGTAGTAATTCCTTCTCCCGATCATGAGCTGCCTCCATCTAGTCCAAAGGGGAAAAAATGGTTAGCTTAAACTTTGAAAAATCAACCTCAAAAGACTAGTTTAAACAACACAATTCACGAAGGCAAGCTCCTTGGTACTTGACTAGTCAAAACTATCAAGTCTAATATCCTCAAAACTCATCTCTATACGCAAGAACTTGGGTTTGAAATTAAGATTTCATGACTTGAAAAAGTGATAAAATAAAGTTTTCATGCAACTACTACAACACTTAAGTGCCACATGAAGAGGAAAATCACACAAAACAAGCCAAATTCTTATATCACACAACTTCCAAGAAGTGTAAATAGTTACGTACCAAAGATTTCTCTGTCATAGCTGCATTTGCCGATGCACATGCTCCATCCACTGCATAATAGTGAATTATGTAAGAAAGTCAAAATGAGCAAAACAATTCAATTTAATCGACATCACCTACCTGTACTATCCCCAGTAGAGAGTAGCTTCATCAGACTCAGTATACTCTCCTGTTGAGATCAATATAAATGTCACAAGCTATAAGCAAAATGATACCGCTAAAAGGTGATATGTAAACTCAATCCATACCCTTTGGACAATATTTGTTTGCAAAACTGATTGCAGCATTGAATGAAAGGATTGGTTAGGAAGATTAGGAGGTATAGCAACCGCAGCCTCACTTAGAGTAACTGGTATAGATGTACCAGGCTGTGGTGAAATGACCTGCATTATCCGTAATGCTATTTAAAAAAACTTTATAATGACAATTGACAAAGTAGCAATCATGCAATTGCTGTACTTAGGGATGCAATTGCACAAGACATCTAATGAACAGAATATTGTTTTTTTTATGCATCACCTAAAAAAGCTCACCTGCATGCTCTGACTTTTCTGAAGAATTGGAGAAGGGGAAACCTGAAAAAAGAAAAAAGAAAATTTCTAAAGTACGTTCAGACATTATTGCGGGATGTTAAACGTTAAGACAATGGAAATCACCTTTTCAAAGTCGACGTTCTCGGAAGTAACCTTAAAACGGCCTTTTTGCTGAACAACAGGGCATTTTGCTTTTTCATCTAGTTCGTCACTATTTACTGCTCAAAAAGTGTGTTTTATGTAAAAGATTATTATCTTTTGACAGCTATAGAAATCAAGAAACAAGATCGCAATGCATTTAAACAAAAAAGATGTAAAACTAGCAAAATCTTGCCTGATGTTTTGGAAGCCTTAGAACTTGTCTCAGAAGGCACATCATTTACTGCTTGATGAGGAAGATCAACATTGTAATTTGATGTGCTTTGTGGCTGACTTTGAAAACTATCACTGCATATTTTTAAAATAAATAAATAAAAACATGTTCTAAAAGGAGAAATTAATAAACTTAAAAAAAAATTCACCAAACATGCATGTACACATCAAGATGCTATCAATGTAGCAAGGAAAGTTCCTAGAAAAATGATTATGGATGAAGAAATGGTCATTAAAGCACAAAAATCTTCAAATTTTGTAAGAGGATTTTCTTGGGAATGCTTAACTATCATGAATCATAAAAATTGGATAAGTTTAGAAAAATTCTTATCCCTTATTCATTAAAACCATAATTTAGCAAATGGTCCAATCCACTGTACAAAAGTGAATTTACCTCTGATGAGAATATGGCATGAAATTCTCTGCTAATTTTCCATTGGTCTCTGGATGTGGTCTTATGGAAGAATTAGTTTCTGCATGATACTCAATCTGGGGGATAGAGTTCTGGTGCTCATGGACTGAATTGAAACAGCTTGCATCATCATCAGATTTCTCGCTTTTAGCTCTGCAAATTATATTGAATTAGCGAACCCCTAAAAGACTAAAATGTATGAGATCCAAGTTCTTTAGTAACGCGCCCAATATGCATTAAAACCAAATATGAGCTCATAAATTATGATTGAGTAAAATGCATGCACCAATGTGATTAAAACAATGAATCAAACTTTGATGTAGGATCACATACATATTATAGACCACGGTAGAATCAGCTGACGAAGGATGAGTAATCAGATTATTGTCATCCTGAGAAGCGACAAGACATTAGGTCATCAAGAAGAGCAGCTCTCATAGTGTTACATACTAGTAGAACACATTGTAAAAACCAAAATGACCTACAGGATCTGAATATTGACTTGCAAATGACGATTGACGCTGTAGTGCAAATTGACTGGCTGAAGACAATTGACGTTGAAATTGTTTTCCATGTATATCAAGACTTGAGAGTGAATTCGTACTCCCTTTCTGGTCTTTCTCAACAATAATGTCCTCATCTTGGATCTGAGATAAAGAATAAATTAGATAAAAAGAATAGCATCAAATCCTAAAACCAAGAATACAATATTTCTAAAAATATATATATACTAGACAAAGTTATTTATTATACCAGGGAAGCCTGAGCCTTCATGTCTTCAAGATCAAAATTCCAACCACTGATGCCACGTTTATACTCATTCTGCAGACATTTGAAAACAAATTAAGTAGTGCAAGAACCAAATAAATTGAGACAATTGACAATGTAATAATTCTAGTACAGGTTTTAGCAATATCCTAAGAGATCACAACCATCATGGGAGTACCAAACATCAACTCTTAAGCAGCTTCACTTCCTAGGTAAATTAGATAATAAAACAATTGCTAAACAATTGGGCATATTACCAAAATCCTAAATTTCCTTCAAAAGAGTAAAACTTGACACTCCAAACATACTCTTGCAAGGGATATACATCGGATCAATAACTAGACACGTAAATTGTCAAAAAGGATTATAAAACCTCAATATCAACTGTCATAGGAACAATCCATGCAACTAGATCATTTGAAAAATGACTCGAGTACAATTGTCTACGTTCTTGGAAGAAAAGAAGTTTGGAGCATGACGCACATTTTGATTCACGTTAATCAATTGCTCATATTAGTTCACATGTTAATACACTAATAGCCACAAAGGATGATTGTCATGACCATAGATACAGTCACTATCAATTGGGTACCCAAAATTTACATGTAAGTGCCTATCCTACATAGGCATGTTTAACCAATATCAATATTTATTGTTCACCATAATTCTCAATAATCTTGCAGAGGATGCAACCAAAAAAAAAAAGTAAAAATTATTAGTTCCCTCGAAACAGTGCCTATTGAAGAATCAAACCTGTGACATTTCTTCTTTTTGCCCATCTGGTATTTTCTTTTGTGCTAGCATATCTTCCTCCTTTCTCTGTGGTTGACATAAAATACTGTCAACAAAAATAACCATGAAAATGAAAACTAGTGCTTGTATCAAAAGCCATACTTCACTAACCTTAAGTGCTTGAAGTCGGTCACCCAGAGCAGGAAGACCATCCAAGAGCGTCCTTGATATATAATCATTTGACCTTCCTTGCTTGAAAAAGGGATGTTTTAATAATTTCTTTGCCGAAGGCCGTTTGGAAGGGTCTTTTACCAGGCAACTAGCAATCATTTGCTTAAAGGACTATAATAGGAAAAAGGCCCAACAACATCTCAGAATACAATCATAATGGAAAAAAAAACATCATATTTGTCAATAGCATACCTTTGAGAACTTTTTGTCTCTCTCATAGTCAAGACCAGGAGGTGCATTTTGCAAGGTCATAAGCAAAACCTATAAGATGAGATCCTGCTCAAACTAACAATTTTTTGATTGTGTCAAACATAAAAAGCATGTCACTTGAAGATGCACACCTTCATTGGGGGATATTTTGAAAAAGGAGCATGGCCATGGGCAAGCTCCAAAGCAGTTATACCAAATGACCAAATATCAGCTCTTCAAGATAAACAAACCCAAATTAAATACATAGAATTTATATCTTAAATCCAAATTTACAAAGTGAGACAAGATTTAGACATACTTGAAGTCATAACCATGCAATTGCATAACCTCAGGCGCCATCCTGTAAGAAAATGGACACACGACAGAAAGAAAAGTGATAAGAAAATGAACATAAGCTTGAATCATAAAAAACTGGTTAAGATGATATAGTAGACTAACTTAATGTACTTATGCATGGGTATGAATCAGCTTTTGAATTATAAAGGTATTAACAAGAAATCCTCCAACGTAGTCATTCAAACAAACAAAATAACATTGAGAAAGTGCTAAAATGTGAAAAAGTAGTCTCTTGCTATGGAACATACCAACAAGGAGTTCCAACAAATGTATTCCTCGTGCGCTGCCTATCACCTGAATCAAACAAGCAAGCAGAAACACCAAAATCTCCCAATTTGATTCCACCACGAGAGTCGATGAGAATATTTCCAGCCTAAGAGTGCAAAAAAAAAGGGTAATGAAAATGATGATGGATCTAAATTGAGTACTTTCAAAAAAGCTGTCGCATTAACAACAAGATACAGTTTAAGTGTCTTAAATATTGCCATCAATGAATTTCCAAAGCCATGCTCTACCATCTCATCGATTAGGATTAGCACTCCTCTTTTAATGCATAAAGCTGTCGCATTAACAACAAGATACAGTTTAAGTGTCTTAAATATTGCCATCAACGAATTTCCAAAGCCATGCTCTACCATCTCATCAATTAGGATTAGCTCCTCTCTTTTAATGCATATGCCTATTTGATCTTAAAAGTTATCAAAAGCATGAAACTCAACATGCTTCCAATTGGACAAAATTATTCATCCTGCTTGTATCGAAGCTTTCTTTCAGTTTTTATTAAACAAGAGATGCCTTAGCTAGGCATTTTCTACCGGGAATGGTAACATGCAGCTTTATGTTTTCTTCACTTAATCTGTAGTATAAGCATTATACATAGCTAAGAAACATTAAGGCCTCCCAAAAGTCTTTTCTACCTCACATGCAGGTTCATCTATTAAACATTACTACCTAGTGGAAAAGCTCAAGTTTATTCTTAGAATATTTTACATACTTACACTGTAATACTTTTTCATATTCATGGTTGATTTTTTGGACAAGTCTACTATATGCGCATATACCAAGTGGTAATGAAGATTGAACTAAAATTTCGTGCCTGTGTTGTTAAACTATGAAGTAACAAGAAGTTGCCCACAACTTGTAACTAGGTACACTTGTGTATTTAAACACACAATTGCCGTATTGCACAACACATGCTGTTGCATGTCATTATAAATATGATAAGCTGTTGATTGAAAGCAAAAATAATATGTAATGAAGATTGAAATCAAGACTATTTTGCATACAATTTGCTCAAAAAGTTCAACGGCAACTTACTTTAACATCTCGATGAATGTGGCCATGACTGTGAAGATACTCTAATCCCTTTAGTACATCACGTAATATGGTTGCAATAACTGTCTCCTCAAAGCCATCTGGATGTACAGCCTTGAGTATGTGAAGACAAGAACCCCCAGCCATATAAGGCATGACCACCCATAGGGTATGATCACTCACAAACGAACAATGCGATTTTAGAACATTTGGATGATCAACCAGGACCATTGTTTGGGCTTCTCGAGAAATGTTATTCTACGTAGAGTCAAATTATGTAAGTTTGTCAAATTATCCAATATACAACCATGGTTATAATGAAATAACATAACATAGTTTTCCAAACAACAATTTTCAATTGCCAAACAAACAAAAAGCTATATATTGATGAATATGTTGGTAGTCTATATGTCTATAATTCATTTGATATCAATCATAAAATCTGTTCCATCACTTATATAATACCAACATTTGATAAAACTAACAAGTTTATTTCAAAATTGCAACTTAAAAGTTGGAAAAAAAAACACATATCCAGTGAAACTACTCTGTTTTCATTTCTTATTCATATAAAACTAATTTAACAACAACCATGAAAACAAGGGAAAAGAGCACAAACAGAGCTCCAAATAATCAAAGCTTCAAGGACTCCAGCTTTTGTGCAAACAGTAGATAGTAATGACGATAACTGGTCAATATTCAGTAACTTTTCCACGTTGCATTCAAACAATCCAACGTCTAATGAATTAAAATATACTTACCTTCTGTGTATCATACTAAGTAATAGGCTAGACGACAAAAAAATGCGCTTCTTCAGATTTATTTGTTTTGTCCCTCACATCTTTGCCGGCGATCTCTTTTAAAAACCTTATCAATTTAAACACTCTTAAGATCTGATTTCGCACTCGTTTCGACATAAGAGGCGATCACTAGACCCAATAATATAAAAACCCACAGAATTAAAAAAAAAACTCCAATTTACTTTCTGTTTCCGTTAAAACGATAAAAAAAAAAAAAAAAAAAAAAAAGTACGCACGCCAGCATAATGACAGTTGACGATGAATCAAGCCCACATGCAACAACAACAGAGTCACCATATTAACACGAAGCAAAAATGACTCGAAAATACGCAAACACACACACACATATATATATACATATAAAAAAATTAATCGTATATATACTGTCAGTATATATACACTGTCATCATACGATGCATGTGCAAAATTTGCTCATATGTCACACTAACAATATATATATAATTTACTCATAAAAGAAGGCCATGAAATTATTTAAGCAAAAAGTAAAAAACGCAGAGGCAAGAAGGGAGAGTTACCAGATCAACGTTATCGCGTTCGAAATCGAGAATTTTGATGGCGACAATCTCATTGTACGGAATACAAAGCGCCCGATGAACAGAAGCGCTTACGCCTGTCCCGACCTCCTCGTACAGGGTATAATGCTCCGCACCGATTGGATACTTCTTCTTCTCCATTGTTTCCTCCTGTTTTTTCCTCCTCTATTAGCAACTGTATTTGTAGAATCAACGTTTTATAAAATTAAAAAAAAAAAAAAAAAACTTAGATTACTCTGGTACCAAAAAAATTTGCAGCTAGCTAGACGGTGATCTGCAGATCCGAGTCCTAAACAAAATTGTCCAAGCCAAGCCAGCAGCAGCCCGATTCCAATTCTGTCTCCAACTAATTGAATGAATTTCACTTTCACGCCCAAAGTCAAAGTCAAAAACGAAAAAATACAATTAAAATAAACCTTTTATACTTGCAAGCAACTTAGAAGTCAGGTTATTTGTATCTAGAGAAGATATCGGAGAAGGGCCAAAAAAAAAAAGCAAAAGCAAAAGGTGAGAGTAGCAGTAGGGCAGGACGGGGACATTGAATGATGATGACAAACCAGATTGTTCTCTCTTTCTCGTGAGCAGAGAGAAAAGGAAAGAAAAAAAGCAGTACGTAGAGAGAGGAAACGAGAAAACGCGGTTAAATCGGGACGCCGCTCAAACTGAAAGTAAAGTACTCCAAAGAAAAGAGGAGTTTGCATGCAGAAATCCCGCCACCTGTTCTGTCACAATTAGCAGTTGTACATTTGGTTAAGAGTTCTAGATTTGGTTTGATGGTTGATATATCACCAAACTCTAACTCTAGCAGTATGATAAAAGTATGACAAGTACGAGGAGTGCAAGTGCATCTGAGATTCCGTTAATGACGCGAGAGAGTTGGACAAGAAATTTGGATATTCCGCCCCACCGAATTGAATCTTACCTCAAAAAAATCTTAACGGGCTACTGACCAGGTTCTGTTGCACGGCCGAGCAACACGTATGGTTTACTTCCCAGCACTAAAAATAGAGTAAGACGGAGTCACCGAACTGGGTTGACCTGCTTCACCGCAGGTCCAATGTTTCAGTTAAAGTTGCGAAATCCTTATCAAAATTTTGCCCAAGCTTAAATAAGCCCCAGATAGGCCTCGGCCAATCTACTCACATAAAAGTTACGAAGTAATTGTGCTCGTATTGATTCTAAAAAAGTACTTGTGTGGATCATTCCACCTGTGGATTTTTAGATTATCGAGTAATTAGTCAGTATTGCCACATAATTTATATTAATTATATGATACACTACGATGATGTTATAATGATGACTAAGAAAATTGTTTATCGGGCAAATATGATAATCTATTGCTAAAAAGTCTCCTACTTTTTATGCGGTTTCCATACTACTGTAAACACATAACGCAAACTAAAAAAAAAAAAGGAACGTTTTTTATGTTGGGCTGGCCTGCATTCAACCAAAGTGCCCTTTGTTCATATGTTGTGGGCTCGAACTTATTGAAGCCCGATTAACGAGCCCAATCAGCAATCTTACTCTCCGAACACTAGGGAGTCATGAAAGGATGTTTGCTATGACTGTCATCGTTTTTCATGCAAGTTTCAACAAAAAAAAACCACATAAAACGAGAATGGCGATAAAGCACCACAAATATTGAGCCTTTTCAAAGTTGAAAGTACGCGGCTCGGTGTAATAAATCACAGCACAAGCCACTGAGACCCTATGAAGGGCTAGATTTATGGTGTTATATGATTGGAACTGAGGCACCACGGGATTAATGTTCTTGATGCAGTCCTCTATAGGTCTTGTGGACTGTTCTTCATCAAACAACGTGGTCCTGATATCATTCTTGCTGATGGCAAGCGAAGCTTCCTCGTATTCATTTAATACTACGTCATAACCCTCTTCGCAGATTGTAAGAAGGTCTGCTACCTCTTTAGTTGCCCTGGCTTTCGCCCGCTTCACAGCAACTAGTGTGTTGGTGACATTTACTATCACCAGCCTGATCGATATTTCGACCAAAGTGCGAGCATCTGTTGATGGGCTATGCAGATTTTGTTGTAACACGTCCCTGCAGAATTGTGTGTCTGGTGTTCGGTTACAGATTTTGACGATCAATTGAAAAGTAGGACCATCGGGTGTGACACTCAAGGATGGTTGAATGGGAAGGGTTAGGAGGAGCAGGATTTTGGGTAAGCAATATTGAACGTGAGATGGAAAAGAAGACATTTTTTTTATTGGCCCCAGGTTTTGATTATGAAAGAGATTTTGAGAGAAGATGCAATCTTGATATTTATAGTTTTTGTTTGGACATTGGACATAATGGTTAATTCGATGATATTATGAATTCTTTTACCTTCAAAATGGAAACTGGGCAGGTTTATATGGTACTAACTTTGGTTCGTAAATTCGTGAATGCACGAAGCCAGATTTAGTCTCTTGTATCCATGAATGTATACTTGGAAGGATCAAATGCAATGAAACTTTACAAACAGTAGTCAAAGGTTCAGATTAATTCCAGAACCTAGAAGAGTGTTTGCATAACAAATTAAGTATGAAACACATATACTAATTAACGAAATACAAAAAAAAAAATTGCTTTTTACCCGAATCAGTATTAAAGTTTTAGATCAAAGAAGTATCAAGACTTCTTTTGAACACTTCTGTATCCTATTCCAGTGTCCGCTATATAGGAGTATCGAACGATTCGCAATGGTGAAAGTCCAAGCCTTTTTTTAAAAAAAAAAAAAATTTCCAGGCTCGATGGATAATTGCTGTGAGAATGGGAAACTTTCCTAAAGAATTTACTGCCTTGTATCTCCACGAATGAAGCTTGTATCAGATGAAACATCACCGCTACTATGCCTTTGTATATTTGGCCAGCTTGTTAATGCTGTTGAAACAATCTCCAGAGGCTGTAGAATTCTCCTCGGTGCCCGCGTTTGCTGGATGCAGCTCTTGACTACTTTCATTCCCCTCCTCAATATGACCACCGTTCATCGTGGTTATCCGGAATTCCTCCTCCTCCTCCTCCTGGTTGACGCTTGCCATCAGATGTCCGCTTTCATTATCCTCTATGCAACCAATCCGCGACTGGACATCCTCCTCCTCGTCATTGCGGCTATTTCCTTCAAGACCATTCTCCTCTTTGCAGCGCATCCGGGATTCATCCTGCTCTACCATAACAAGTCTAGATCGTTTTGGCGGACCAGAAGGCAGTCCCTCTTGATCAAATAGTGCAACAGATTTATGGTGGTTGCAGCTTGATGTGCCTTTTTCTGGGGTGGACGTTGGACGTTGCTTCCTTTTGGTGCAAGTTTCTCTTCTCTCAATTCCAGCAGAACTGTCACCTGCGTCTCTGATTCGTAAACTTGTGCTATCCTGATCAGTTCGGCTCTTCTCTTGTTCTGCTTCAGCCTTGTTTCTTTCATAAATTCTACACAACACAACTTGCTTGAGCTACACCACAAAATAAATTAAGTAAATATATAAATATGGAAAATATGAATTCAAATGACTCGTCCACCTTATTTATCTAGTTTAGTTTAAACAGAAACAGTGGTTCTCTGCTTATTTCCAAAGGACCCGTCTACCTATATGACTACATGTTTTATAAGTAGAGAACTCACATGAGAATTGTCTCTATATTTAAACATCTAATGGAATCAATTTTCACGTTTTGTATTTAACTAGAACAGCTCTTAATCATCATAGCAGAAACCAACTACGATAGTTTGTGATGCAGGTTAATTAGGAAGAACAAGTCATGTATACCTTGTTGGTTGATGCTGATGGAATCTGACAGCAATCATATAGACTTCTGTCGAGAACGAATTCATGCATTATCCAGTTAGTCTTGAGATCCTTATTTGAGGGAACACCTGGTCCTGGGGGCTTAGTGAGGTGGTAAACTAGGGTATTCTTTCGACCCAAGTTTGAGCGATCAGCTTCAAACAATGGAGTACGCTTGCTAGTCATCCTCCAATGGCCCCTTCCATCCTTTGTGGTCCGGGCTGTCCTCTCACTGTTCTCATACCTCAGATCTCTTGTGGTGAAAAAATAACACGACGCCTCTCCTTTGTCCAAGCCTGATCATTTTTTCCAGGTTGAGAACACGAAAAAAACAACACATCATAAGAACGAGAGAAAGCACATCTTGCAGATTACAGATTACAGCAGCACAAAAAACACATCTTATAGAACACAGCATTCCAAATTGAAAAAAAAAAAAAAAAAAAAAAAAAAAACCCCTTTAAAGTGGGAGAAGTAATTACCAGGAAGATTAGCAGGATGAGATTGGTAGACATCAGCTTCTCGAATAATACCCAAACCAGCGGCCGGCAAGGTGAATCCACCACGAACCTTTGGGAGCAGGTAATACTTGAGAAGCTCATAATCACTTGGGACGAACTTATAACCAATTGGGACAAATTTAATCCATTCCAACTGTTGAATTCAAAGCCACGCCTCAATTATTGACTTTGAAATAGCCAAAATTGTTGAATTATTTGGCACAATTACAATCCCACATCGATAGGTTTATAAATTGGAGAAGATTTTGAGAGTTATAAATAAGCTCTCTACCTTCTCAATTAAGATACACCAAGCAAGAGCATCATAACTTGCTTCTTTCTCTCTTTTTGTAATATTTCTTCTAGTGAAATATTAAATTGTCGGTAGTGTCCAAAAACGTAGATAAATAAGCCGAATCTCGTTAAATTCTAGTATTCTATTTTATTGGCTATTTAGTAGCTATATTTGTAGGTATATTTGTAGTAAGTTATTGTGCAATTAATTGCATATATAGTTGATTCTGTCTAGGAAATTGATACTTAAGCAGGTCAGTGTGCCTCACCAAATATTTCTTGGGAATTATCATTTTGCAATTTTAGGTACAATAATTTACTCGTTATACCTTAATTTAGTAGAGTTTCCGCAACAATTGGTATCAGAGATCAAGGTTTCTTAGTATGCTCTGTGGTTGCAACATAGTCTGATCTTCCACATCAGAACAGATTTCTTGGGCCATTATTATTCTACATTTAGGAGCTACTAAATATAATTTATAGAGATGGCCGAAAGTAGATCTTCATCTACAATGCAAGCATCGACAAGCTCGTTATCGTCTATTATGGCAAGAAATGCTATGATGAATGCAAAATTAAATGTGGAGACATTTGATGGTACCGGTCATTTCGGTATGTGGCAAAGTGAGATTTTAGACGCGCTCTTTAATCAAGGTCTAGACATTGCCATCGAAAAAGAGAAATCAGAAGAGATTGAAGAGAAGGAATGGAGGACGCTAAATCGTTTAGCGTGTGGTACAATTCGATCGTGTCTTTCAAGGAAACAGAAATATGTATTCTCAAAAGAAACTTCTGCAAATAAATTGTGGACTGGATTGAAGGAGAAGTTCTTGAACAAAAATTGTTAGAACAGGCTCGATATGAAGAAGCGTTTATTTCGCTTCACTTATGTTCTCGGCACAACTCTAAGTGATCACATTACTAATTTCAATCAGTTAATCACTGATATGATGAATTTAGATGTGACATTTGAAAATGAAGATTTGGCTCTCATGTTGTTGGGATCTCTTCCTGAGGAGTTTAACCATCTCGAAACAACTCTATTCCATGGGAAAGCTGAGGTGTCCCTCAGTGAAGTTAGCTCTGCCCTGTACAGTTACGAGCTCAGCAGAAACGACAAGCAAAGTAGTAGAGATGGAGTAGCAGAAACTCTGGTAACTAGAGGACGCTCACAAAATCAGAGAAAGGGGACGAGAGGTAGATCCAAG